TCCTCACACCGATCTCATGTGGTCGAAGTCTTATGACAACCTCTTCACACTTGAGCAACCTGAACACAAGAAATCAGGCTGCGCCTATTCATTACTTGTATCATTGTTGTATTAATTGTACAGTTGTATTGTTATGCCATAATTGTTGTATAATTATGATAAACGGTTTAATTACCCAAGTTTGAAGTTTCCGGCATTGTGACTACTACTTACAAGAAGTCCCGCGTGGCATACACAAAGGCGAGCAGCAAATTCCGACCGAATCATCTTAACTACTTGGTATTCCTATATAATCTAGCCGTCCCACCATAGACGACTTATGACAGACTTTGGCTAGGGTAACCTTGGAACTGCGGGGAACTACAATGGCTAAACCAGAAAACTCCGAGAAAATGGAGATTATGCTGGAGCTCGCACAACCAGTGAAGACGGGCTAAGTATCCAAATAACACGAAATAAGAATAAACTGGGGGTTGTTATGGACCAGACTTAGCCCCAGCCCAACAATTCAAACAAGATATCAACAATTAATATAGAAGAACATAGTAACACTTTAGAGTACACTTCTTTTCGGATTTGGATAATTGAGGAACATTTACCTATCTGAGCCAAAGAAGTATTACATACCTAGAAGGTGGTATTTCTATAAAAAGTGGTTTGAATAACTAAATAACACTGAGTGATAATTCTTTTCCAAAAACGTGATAGGATCAAATCATAAGCAGTGACCGAAACAGAAGTGAAACGAACAATCTAACCTGATGACTAACAATTTCAGCATGGCGCGAGAAATGTTTGAGAACACTGCCAGCTTGTTCGGGAGGAAATCCATATACTGTCACCCAAGTATCGACAGGCGACTGGGTCACCTCGCTAATTGGTTTTGTAGCTCCATTCGACACAAGTGGTGCGTCGACCACAGGAGCATTCGTCGACCGACGCGATGCTTTTCGAACCGGTTCTATATCATCACGTATAGACCGGAGTGGAGGTGCTGTAGAAATACGAATGAAGTAATAGAAGATAGGGCAATTATAAACAGTATCTGACCAGGATTGAGATTAGACGAAGGTGTAAACTGCGCTGTGGTCTGTGATGATAGTATTTTCAGCGTTAAACGAGGACTTTCATGTAAAAGGCTACGCTCTTGTACCAAAGCAGGAGACCAATGAACAGACTTCCCACTTGTACTGGTGGATTCGCCTAGAAACAGCTTAATATTGCATATTAACACATTAACACAACGTCCCTAGTTAAAAACATTTAGCCCAAGCAACTTCGGCATGACAGATGAAGTGAGGAACCTCTGTGGTCTATAATGGCAAACGTATCAACATGTTTCAACTAACCTTTCGGAAAAAAAGTAGTAAAGCACATCTGACTTACCCCTCAAGTGGCTTGGCACAGGTGAGGCGAAGATATCATTCGATGGCGCGTTTTGACCACAGAATGGGCTACTTAGATCTGGATTTTTAGGTTAGAAATAACCCTATTAAGATCGTAATAAATAATTGGTAAAAAAATGCAAACTAATCATGAAAAACTATTGCTGAAGAACCCACAAGATTGATTTGCAGAGGCTGTGGGTCGCCGCTTCTGACCGAACAGAAACGAGGGGGTTTTCACCGTCGAGTCAGCTTGATCTTCGTTCAGTAGCCTATAACATGATGGAATCTTAAGCAGTACGCTCCTAAAAGAAGTAATGAAAAAATGAAACCCAAGTCAAATAGACAAAATGGTTACCTCATTGGTGTAGCCGATGAGCTGTTCTCCAATGTCGTGTTCAGCTGTGCCGCCGCGACCGTAGACCGATTGAGCAGTGGCGAGTACATAGTTAAGCAACCGAGTACTACCTGAAATACTTTGTTTTGTATCCAATAGGAGATGATGAGGACGTAAAAGATAGAAAAAATCGATAAAACTTCATGCAGGGTTAAATTACTGGGCATTTTGGAGAAACCGACTTATTTCATGAAAAACTTGCTTTCTAAATACAATAAAAGAAACTTCACAACTACAAAATTTTATAAGTATCATACAGACTGAAAAAAACTAGTAATAAGAAGTTAAAAAGGAAGGTGCAAAGTAAGGGAGGAAAGTTACAAGACGTGCCAATTTGAAATTCAAAAGATGATTCCTACTCCTCCTGGATTGAAAGGAAACTCCAGGAAAACCTGATAACACTGAAGAGGAACTTCACTGGAAATAATCAGCTAAGGAACTTAGTCGCTTATCAATGGGATTCCTAACAACCAGACTCATTTTAAACCCATTCCCGCGCCATTCGGTGAGAAAACTCGTCCAGAAATTCTCTCAGCAGCACTGCCCTCGATTGGACCCTGCAGTTTGAAAAGCCTTCTGGGAAAAAATGTATTGACTATTATGAGGTTTCACATTAATATACGTCAAGAATGGAAAAAATCCAGCAACATAAACGATGGCTTCCATCCCATCTGTGCTCAACTTAGTGGTCTCTGCTTGCAGTAGTCTTTTCTTAAGGTGAAAAGATCCTTACATTCCTACATCCATTTCCTCTTAAGAAAGAAACCATTTTCAATGGGCAGAAAGAGAAAGTAAGTGAAGAGTTAAAGTGCGTAAACACTAAAGCTCGTCATTCAAGAAAGCCGCATATCACAGTTTCCTTTCGAAACGTTGCTGGATTGTAGGGAATACGGATATCTCTTATCACATGCTATCATACTGCTTATGAATAGAGACACTGAAACCAACTCTTCATTTTAGTCGGATGATCACTCCGCTCCGCCGGTGACCAGCTTCACACTACAACACCATACCATCAGGTACGAGTTTTCATGGTCATTGGTGGTATGTACTTCCCTACGCGCGGGAAAATTAGCCACTTTGATTTTTATTTTTGACTTGTGGTTGCGCGCGTTTCCTTCATAGACTGTTTGAGTTATTTCCATCGATCACTGGGGACTTTCCATATTTTGTGATGTTTCTTTATAGATGATGGATAAGTTCTGTACAGCAGTTGGGCCTCAGGACGAGAAAACCGAAGGTCGGAAACTTTCTTCAAAAGATTTCGAAGCTATTTTAAATGAAATCAAGAAACCATTCAAGAATCCTGCACCAAGAGGCAAGGTATGTGGTGTTACATTCTTGCGGCTGCGGCATTCTTGCGGTAAGGAATATCAGCAGTCGTATGTACTATAAATCAAAGGGAAAGTTTTCGTCGTTGACCGATCCCTGAGGGATGCGCCATGCATTCGACTTCATTAAGCATCGTTTAGAGGTGATTGAATGCATATCTGGCCTTTACAATGACTCGCGGTGACCTACCTATGTATCGAACCAGTGCTGCTATCCTCCCAGACAAGTACCAATTTGCCGACTCTGGAGTAGTGAAGGCCTTGTTGGGTCTCGGGCGCGGGAAGCGAATATATGTGTGTTGCAAGGCGCCTCTAACCACTGCGCTACACGCGCCCGTAGTTTTTTTTTCCATATTTTTCCTCAACTGGTTTTCATATTTTATGTTTAAGTCGTTGTTTTGATTTCTGTGTTTTGTTTCACCATGAGTATTGTTTCAGCAAATTATCGATCCGGACCAAGCCCGCTATCTCTACTTCGACATAACTCAAGAGAATGCATCTGGAAGCCAAGATTCAACCCTCTCAAAGTCACTGGTTGAGAAATCCATGGTAACATGCCGTTTCTATTGTTTTTCTTAGTCTACTGCGGTGAGAGAGATTGATATGTGATTAGACCTCCACTCTTGGAGCTTACCTTTTTGTCTTTTCTTTACCACCTCTACTTATTAATGCGTAAAATTAATCATTTTCGATTTCACGGTAAGTCTGACATATTACCAGCAGCTTAACACATGATATCGTGGCTTTGCTGATGGCAATGTTATCATATCTTCAACCTATATAAAGAATTAGTGCAAAGTGACCAATTAACATTTTTTGCATTAGAACCCAATTCTTTAAAAAACAGCTGAGTCTACTTCCTAATCGTTGTGCGCTAAAGGTGCATGTGGAGTTGGGTAGCACTCTGTTGGGACATTAAGAGTATCTTCACACAGTAGACTGCAGTAAAAACCATGTAGTTGTTCTTCTGGTACAGTTGTTCTTCTGTAGTTGTTCTTGACGATTGTTAGCATCACTATTCTTGATGGTTCGGATTCAGTTTTCTTGCTAATCGTCATACCGTATTATTTTATAGGCTGATACTACTTCTTGTTCCACACCTCTCAGAGAAAGTATGGGGCCGAAAGAAGCTGAACGTCGTGCTCGAAGGCTTGAAATGCTACGCGAACGCCAGCTGCAGTACCAGAAGGTAGGTCTTGCTTGCTTCGTACTCAGTGCACTTTTTTGGTAGTTATGGGACTGCTGCATATCGGTGTTGATAGGATGGAGTATCTCTGTTACTTCCTTTTTCATACTTAAATACTTGTATAGCTCGTCTTCACTGGCTGTGCGGGCTCCATCATAATTCCCATTTCTTCGGAGTTTTGCTCGTCCATCCATTGTGGTTCCCTGGAGTCTTGGGGTCATCCAAGGCAAAATCTGCCCCAGGTAGTCGCCACCACAACCAGTCGCCGCACTTGTGGGTCAGAGGGAGATTTGCCACCATGCGACTAGTTTGATACCAGGGGACGATGGTGGATTCTGGTATCGGTTTAACCTTAGCTCGACTTCCTGGTGGAAACGCTGGACTCGTTCTCAGCTTGGAAGGCTCTGCAGAGGGGACGAATCCCTCCGTTGTGCATCACAGCCCGCTACCCAGGGACACCTCCGAGCCACGGTGAAGCAGTAAACCGCTGGGCTGTCCTTCCTGATGTCATGCATATAGTCAGTATTAAAGAACTTAATTCATTTGGGGATTCTTGTGTTGGCATAGTTGCGTTTACTGTTATGTCGCTTTTCCTGTTTGTATCATTTATATACAAATTTCTAGCAAGAACTAAATCTTGGTGGTTACCATGATGTGTTCAATGACACTTGTCCTGAATTCAAGCGTCGGGTAGCCTCGCATGAAGATTCTGTAATGACATCGGATGATGAAGCAGTGAAAGCAACGCAGATTGATGCGGCTTCTGGTTTGTTATTGAATTTCAATATCTTTCTTTCATTTGTTTCAGACTTCGTTGTTTGGTATTTCAAGATACTTGCTCGATGATGTTAAAGGTGACTCGAATATTGTACGGTCGTCGCAAGGACGCGTGGGACAAGGCTGTTCCACTCCACAGAACATAGCCGATCATACTTTCGGTCCATTGCGTACCATTGATATTTCTGTGGTCAACAATCGAGAATCTACATCTACTGAGGTGTGTTCTAAGATATGAGCAATTTCAGTGAACTTGGTCTCGATGTAATCACCAAGTCTGGTATCCAGAGCGGTTTGTTGACCTCTTCCAGTTAATTGTTCCCCAGTTATTTTGAAATCACTTGGCTGAGATTTGAGCTGTCCTATGTTTTCTATAGCAAGAACAAAGAAATCGGAAGGTTGCAGTGGGATCATTTATCGGAGCGAGTGGTTCTCGTTTAGCACACGTCTTTATCTTAAGAGTTTTGATTGGAAGCCCTAAGCATGATTATACATGTCTTTGCTAATGTAAGTTACATCTTTTCAGGGAACGAAGAAGATGGCTGGGAAAACTTCAACTAGAGGTTCTGAGTCCTCTTTCGCAGATGAATGTATTGAAACTGGTGAACTAGTTTTCTTTCCGTTAGCTTTTGATTTTGGGAAGAAGGCGTGTGACGCAGTGGTCGGAGGTACCATGCGACACACGTGGAATCGATCTCCGTGCCCATGGCCCAGCAAGCCTTCCATCCTTCCCGGGTCGCCAAATTGGTACCAGACTTGTCGCGAAGATAGCAACACAGGCTCGATGCATCGATAGGCTACCGCGAGTCATTCTCAAGGCCATATGTGCATTCAATCCCCTCAAAACGATGCTTAATGAAGTCGAATGCATGGCGCATCTTTCAGGGATTGATTAGCGCCGAGAGCTTTTTATTTTTTAAGCTTTTAGGTAGTCTTAAAAATCGTTCTGAAGCAATCATAGTGAAGACAGAGGGACTTTTTTTGCGTTTTTTTTTTATTCTGCGTTCTCATGTGCCGATAGAACCTTCACTGAGTGTTTAAGCAACTAGGCAGTTTTTTTTTGCATTTTGGTGGTATAAAAACAGTGTTTGTTGTTACCTCATTGTACTGGTTACTCTTCGGTGAGACCATTTTCAGCAATAGATGAGAGTATATGAGTATATGCGATAATTTCCACTTCTCTTTGTTGCCATAACTATTTCTTCAAACTGTTGTAGCTCTTTTGCACAATATTTATGGGGTAGTTAACGTTTGAAGTTTTAGTTCGAACTCCGCTTATGTATCTGTTGTAGTTTGATGTCGTTTCGCTACCAGAAATCCGCTGTTTCAAGGATTCACCTCTCATACATGGCGAAACCGTATAGCTCATTGGTTAGAAGTGCTCTGCACGGTCTATGGCACAATTTCTAGCCCTGGACTAACCAGGGCCTATGACGTGAGAAAGCCGGTGGTAGAAGTCTATGTTTTGACAACCTTTCTTTATCGGCATGCGTCGGATGTTGTACAGGTCAAATGTACATTCGTTCACCTCGAGGAAGCTTAATGAATTGGAATCAGTTGTGTATCCAAAGGAGGTTGATCAACGAGAAACAAGTCGTAGTTTAATCTCTGGTTAAGAATAAGTCATTTTCTAGCGGTTATTTAAGTACGTTGTGTTGAATTCCAGTTGCTGGTTCTGCTCAGTTGGTTCCACCCAGTGCTCATAATGATTCACTGGAGAATGTGCTGTCGAAGATGCGAGTTACACCGAAAAAAGTCAGTCGTGTTGTCAGAAGAGGAGCATTCACTAGGTTGGAGAATAACTTGGAGGAGAAAGATTCGCAGAAGTGAGTTTTGTTTCTGTATATAAAAGCAGAAGTATGACAAACTATAGTGAATTTATATAGGATAGTAGGAGCAGTGCTATAATAAAAACTATTATGTAAATGTATAGAAGCGTAAAAGCATCAGTTCCCATTGATTCGAGTATGAACTAGTGTGGCACTTTGTATTTGGGGAAGGTGTAGTTTTTATAGTAACATTTTTCCTGTAACAGTCAGTTCAGCAGTTGATCGTTTTTCACCCTTTTATGGGATTAATATAATGTGGGATCCAAAACATTTTATGATTTTTAGACTTCCAACGTATGATTTTGGATCTGCAGTAAATAGTAATGCATCTGCTGAACGGACATCTCAAACGAACTTTGAGTCGCATCAAAGTGCGGGTGATGCACCAATCGTGGTCGAAAAAATAAATAAGACGTTCGTGATCGAAAAAACAAATAAGGCGTTCGTGATCGAAGAAAATCCTAATGCCGGAAAAAACCCGGACATTTTGGATACGGAACGAGATATACCCAACGCTCCTCAAGCTAACAATACCAACTCTGCCGACGTGGTGTTTGCGGTACCAGTGGTTCCAACGAAAACATCAAAAGGTTCCGTCAAAACAACTCTTCACCAACGAGAGGAGCGAGCGGTACGAATCTTGTTTGTTTTCGGCTTACGCTTATTGTCTAGGTTGTCGCTTATTTGTGTTAGTTTGTAGAATAACTCTGAGAAAAAGAACACTTCCATTTTGGAAACGATGGATCTGGATTTGCGTTCGCCCGGACGTACATTATTTGCGTCTTTTCCTCCTAATAAGGTGTTTGTTTTTTGAATATTTGTGTATATGAACTTTTATAGTCAACGTCTATTTTAGAAGCGTAGCTTGGCCACGACACCCGTCAAAGCGACTTCATCGCACAATGGAGGTAGTTTGTTACTTCAGTCTTAATACTCTTAGTCAGAAGCCTATATTAGCGCACCTGTCGTCTACCTGACGCCTGTATTCCGTCATTTTTGTGCGTTGTGAACTCATGCTGTTTGAAGAGCATTGTTGTGGATGAACGCATGTGAAACGAATCGAATGTAAGAAGTGCTGTGATCCGCACAGTAGTTTTGATGGCGCGTTGTGTAAGTTGAAATCTATTCACGATGAGTTAAAACAAGAATTTGTATAACACTGGAAGCTTGAATCAAAGGTACATAGGGCAGCCCTATAATAAGCGATTGCAAAGAGATGAGTTTATGTCAACTCGCGCAGGCCGATCTGCGTCCACTAGCACTTTATTCTAGGTATTGAAACACTAAAATTGTTGAAACACATAAACCATTATACTTCCACGTGATTTCTGTGCGGTTGGTCTCTACGTGACATACTTAGTGGAGACCTCATAGAAAGCGGCTCTGAAGAAGGCGAAATTCGCCGAAACGTCAGCTTAATCGTGAACAAAGAATAATAACACCTCGCGTTTGCTCAACAAAAATACGAACAAAATCACTAAAATTGTTTTTATACAGTATGACGAACAAGTGTTTCTCCCCAATTTTCCTTGTTGTGATACTTACTAAGAAGAAGCGTTGGGCGTTTCTCGGTCACATTTATCTTGTTCGATTTTAATTATCCTTTGTTATGTTTTCGTATTTTCGGCTTCTTAAGATACATTGAACGATGTTTTGAACTTTGGGTTTCCAAGCATGCATATTGTGACATTTGCAGATGCAATGGAAATTACAATTGAGATGTCTGATATAAGTCAGCAGCCATCTGTCGAGTCTGGTGACGATTCAGTGGTGGATCCAGTAACAGATCCACGACCAACTGAGGCAACTCCTTCTCGCGTAATTCGGCCTGTAAGGATTATTGTAGTGGTGTTTAGGTGAGTACCATAATTCATGAGGACATATTTGTAGTGCACTACCTCATCGAATATTCCTGTGACACCAGTGAATAGTGCTATGACTTCATTTCGTCGTCCTGATACTAAGTTGAGTGCTAGTCAAAGAAAGGAGATTATACAGGTATTTTGTTGCTTCCCGTGATGAATCTCCGCTCATTTCTTCATGCTGTTCATTTCCTACAGAGAAGTGTTGAACGTTTGTCGCAGCCCCGCTCAGGAGGCCATTGTCCAAGAGTTACTGAACGTTGCGTGAGTTTGTAAAAAAAACCTCACTCAATCATACCGTGATTGATTAGTCCATGTCATTCATTCGTCATTGAGTCATGTTCTTCATTTTCTACAGAAGAGTGTCGAATGTTTGTCGCAGCCCAGCATAGGAGGCCGTTGTCCAAGAGTCACTGAACGATGCGTGAGTTTGTAAAATAATGTCACATATCATAGCGTAGTTGATAATCTTGAATTACTAAATTTCAGGAGTCAAACGACCGCATATCTCCTTATCCTAGCACAACAGGCAATGGGGCTCAACCTGTAACACCGTTCGAACCAATCGGTATTTGATCGTTTCATTTGTAAACAATAAATCAAGCCGGTTATCTCTAGATCCGTACCGCATGTTCGCTCCTCATGCTGGTCGAAGTGGTACTGCTCGACGGGTTCCTCCGATTAAACGCCGAACTGTCTTATTAGCTAGAAGTTCTCTTTTTACACATGATATGGAGGTATTGTACATTTTATGAAAAATAAAACGATCATGCAACTGTTTATTTAGGCTATATCAAGAACTGTCGAAGACAAATCAGGTGGTACAAAAGCTGCTGTTGTTCCTGTCGAGGATGAACAAATAGCTACGTCGCTTATTCCACCAGAGCGCGATGAATGTAACAACACAGCACTAAGTGTAGCTAATAATCCAGAGGTCCGTTATTTGTTTCCCTTATGTTTGTCATCTCAAGTTAATTGGGACGAAACTAGTGCATTTTCTATACACTCGTGCCCGTGTTTAAGCCCAGAAATATGTCCGCCTTCCAACCTTACATAAACCTACATAAGCTCAAAGTGAATTGGATCAATTAAAGTAGATATCTGATGCTGCAGGTATTTATCAATAATATATCACTTTTCTAATTCTACTACATAAAATGCCTATTGCCTTCAATCTACAGTTTTTTCGCTTTGATACTAGTATTTCGCAAGTAGAAGCGGTGGGATAAGCAAAGTTTTGTCCACGGATGATGTTACTAATAGATATCTGGTACTGTCACGTTTGCATTAAAGGAGAAAGGATGAAATGTCTGACATTGGTCAGTCCCTGAGCGATGCACTATGCATACAACTTCAACAAGCATAGTAAAAGTAATTGATTGCGCACTTGAATTCATATCTGACCGACCGTACTATCTCTTGCAGTGGTATACAAAATCCGTCTTGTTATGCTCTCAGACAAGTATGGTATCAACTTGCAGACCACGGAAAGATGGAGGCTTGGTGGGCCGAGGCTACGGAAGAAAATCAGCTGCTGATCCAGTACTTGTTGCAGAACAGTACGACGCGCCCAATACTACCATTAAGGAGTTGATTTTCTTACGTTTGTGTGAAAAGTTTGAGTTCCAAACAAATTTCGAGTACAAATGCAATTGCGTAGTACGATAATTAGGATTAGTAGTATAGCTATAAGGTCGCGTGCAGCGCAGTGGTCGGAAGCGCCCTGCGAAACACCCCTGGGATCAAACTCCGCGCCCACGGCTCACCAAGCCTTCCATCCCTCCGGGGTCGGCAAATTGGTATCAGAATTTTCTGGGAGGTTAGCAGCACTGGCTCCATACATCGGTAGGTCACTGCGAGTCATTGTAAAGGTCAGAAATGCATTCAGTCACCTCTAACGATACTTAATGAAATCGATTACATGGTGCATACCTCAGGGATTGATCAACGTCGAGTAGAACTAGTATTATGGTATGTAATAGTATGAAGTCGTTTATACTCCTGGAAAATTAAAGCGAAGTGTTTTGCTGTCAGGTTCAACACAGGGTGTCAGGGAAATTGTTGTCAACACGGTCGCGAATGTGTCAGTGAGATGCTTACATAAGTTGCGTTATTTTAAGTGCCGATTTTACAGACACCACGTATCCCGGAAGGAAAGAGTTGTGTTCTTCCTACGTCCGTCGTACGTTCATTACAATCATTATAGTATTGATTTTTCGTTTTTTTGTCTTTTGTGGTTTATTTTAAAGTTATCGTTCATATCTTAACAATAGTTTACTTGGTTGTCACCATGTATTTATAGGCAGTCGGGGATACTAACGAAAATATTCTCTTGGATGCTACCCGACGTTTAAGTCTGAGAGGTTAAATTTTATGATCGTTTTAAAATTCACCAAAGCCAGCGAGTTTCTTTATGGTTTAATCTGAATAAAAACTCAGTGTGTTGGTCTTTACTATTTATTCCTGTTTACCTGCTCATTGCTCATTCTAAAACGATTAGGATGCAAAACAAAGGGTTTCTAATCTTGGAAATCGCATATAAATAGTTTCCAGAGGCATCACCTTTGAAAATGACTAGTGCCGCCGAAGATGGTTTTATGTTAAACGGAAAGGCTGGAAATTGTCAAAGCGAAGGTTTCCACTAAAAATTCGTACTGAAATACACCATCGATTTACATTAATAAACGGTGTTTGTGCCAGGACTGCTCATGGACAGTGTATTCTCAACGAACACACCTGGTCATAGCTCACTAGGGACCGCTAAACGCATGCTCAGTGAATCCGAACTGGAAACGGATTCTAGTTCAGCAACAGTTGAAGCAGTCTTCCCTGGTGTGTATCGTGCATATTTCTGTCTTTTTACTAAGTATTTAGTCTTTAAAACTTAATAAGGTTTTATTTCAGTGTCTTAATATGTTAATTTTTAGGCCATAACTCAAATGATTCGGCTAACGTCGATATACCTGGAGTTAGCACTGAGTATTGTAAAAGTGACAATGTCATGATACTGAGACCACGGAGTATTGGTACATTTCATTCCGTTAAGAAGAACAGAGAACTTTTAAGTATTGAAATATCACAGTAACAGTATTTAATTATGTACGAAGAAAATTGCTCGATCGTACTGAAAAATTGGGATAGTGAACAGAAAATCGATAGCTGGTTTCATCTCTACAAGGTACTGATATTGACACGTTCAGTCAAACCGTCAACTCCGTTTACGTTAAATGTGCGCCGATCACTGCGTAATCGAATGAAACCAGTTCGCCGGTGGCTAGGTGAAAAACCTATATACAGCATATCTCCTGGAGGTGGGCTTCTAGTGGATTTCCGACAAATTGTTTGTATGGATGAGAATACGAGAGGATGTTTTCATGAGGATATGATTTTTCCTTTTTTGAGCAGAAGCAGACATATATTTAGCAGTTGAATCTGATGCGTAAACTAGACTTTGCTCAGTTCTAGGAGGAAGAACTCTGGTTGGCGTAACTGAAGTTGAAGTGAGAGACAAACGTTGGCTTAAATTTAAGACGGCGGACTTTAGACTGGCAAAAGAAAGGGAGCAGCAGCTAGCTGGTGAATCGCTTGTCATTTAATTATTTATTTGTAGAGACCTATTTAGAGATCCTATTACAGTAAGACCCACTATTAGCGAAAATATTCTCACACTTCAATGAATTATTTCCAATTTCTAGCTCATCGACGATTTCTGCGAGAGAAAAGGAAAGAAGAGGCTCGTGAGCGTAAGCAGTGTCGTCTTCTCGACCTTCAATCACGTCACGAAAGAGGCATGGATCTAGACATTACTGCTGACTCGATCGTAACGAGCTCTGACGACGAAGATTCTAACCACTATATTACTGAGGAAGCGGTTTAGTGGTTAGTAACCGCGTCTGTTTAGCGGTTTAGTTACTAAAATCAAACAGTCTTCTCACAACCAATTTGCAATAATTTTATTTGTTCTCGAGATATACAGAAAACAAGAACTATGCATAAGAGCTGTACGTAATAACACAGGATATGCAAAACAGGTGTAAACTGAATAAACAACAGTAGTATCATGCTAACTAAAAACCGTACTTTTGCCTGCCCATACGCTTCATGTGCTTGCTCTCAGCCCATTGTTGTTGGAGTGCTTCCTCACGTGCAACGGCCTGAAAACATAAGTAATACACGGGATGGCTTACTTCTGATCGAAGTCATATCAGTCAATTACTGTACATTATATACATCATTAATAAGTATCAAGAAATAAGTAATGTTATTAACTATTAGTAATAGTACTAAGTAATAGTCCTCCCACCGGTTTACCGCCTCATCGCAGCTGGGAGGTGTCCCAAGGTGTCGCGCTGCGATGTACAGCGGGAGATTAATCACACCGGCAGGGTCTCCCAAGCTGAGAAGTCCGGTGTTTCCATCAGGAAACCCAGCTAACAATAAACCAATACCAGGATTCACCACCGTCCTAGTATTAAACTAGTCGCGTGGTGGGAAATCTTCCTCTAGTCCACAAGGGTGGGGACTGCCTGTGGTGATGAGGACCTGGGGCAACCTCAGTACTCCAGGGAATCACAGTGGCTAAGCCAGCAAAACTCTGAATAGGTGGAAATTATGCTGGGACCCGCACAATCCAAGTATCCAAGTACTAAGTAATAACATTATTAAATATTACTAATAGTATTAAGTAGTACGTGCGAATTTTTACCAAATTAGCAAGATATGTGATTTGATGCTTTCTTCTCGATGTTGCATCCGTCGGATTTTTTGACTTCGGTAGTGGTGCCATCGCATCTTTTGCGCGAGCAGCACTATGCAGATTCTTGAGCAGTGTTGAGCGAACATCAGGACCAAGTGCCTGAATTAAAATATCCAAGATTCTTCATCGAGTTCTAAAGGAGTAAGAAGTCAAGTTTTATTAAATCGCATATACCAAAGCTTCACTCCTAGAACAAAGTTTTCAAATATTCAACAAAGAAAAATTTGGAATATTCCTAAACTCACATCGTCTACTCGTATATCCACTATATCAGCTGCAATGGAATTGAAACTTCGATGGTCAGACCCCATCGGCCCTACTTCATGTTTCATAATGAGACGATGCGCTTCCTAAATTCTAGATTTCTTAGGAAGAGAAAGAGTGGTACCAAATTACGGCATATTGTGTACGAAAAAACTCCTTGAAAAGGTTTTTTCCTTCTTTCACTGCATTTGTCTCTGCGTCAGAAAATGAAGGTATAACCGGCATTGAACCAGGTGTACCGAACATCCAGTTCATAGAACTTGTGATAATATGGACCAAAATCCAGAAAAGAAAATCGGATGTACATGGTGTAAAATCGCTGACAATGTTCAGACTCAGGACAAATTGAACAAGTGTTGGCTTAATAGACAGAAAAAACCTTAGAAAAAAATTCGGCATATTTATATATGCATATGTATACATTCGTATATGTACATGTAGATATGTATGGTGTCTCGTGAGAGAGCAAAAGGTTGAAAACCGCACATTTTTTTCCAAAAGGTCAATAGAATTGACAAACGTACTTCTACGTTCAGTAAAATACGCATATGTTCAATACTTCTTGAAACAGACCTATCACGCTCACACCAGTTGCCAAAATTAGTGGCTACTTTCCTAAAAATTACCTCATCTGTGATAACACCTTGTGGAGGAGTGTCCTCTAAGGAAGGCACAACTTCCGGATAATCACTAACATCCGCATCCTGTAAGAGTAACATTAAGGGACTAGTCACCTAACACAAAAAAATGAATCCCAATATAATTGAAAAAAAGACAAATCAACCATAAAACTTACATATTTCTCCGTTTGCGATGGTCCTGCAATATCAGCAAGCCCGTGAACAAGTGCTGGTACATTTCCTACTTTGGGGATCTTCGGTTCGGGAGAAGATGACAGGCCAAAGAAATCCGGATTGACATTGTCGTCGTCATCGGAGTCATCCAACGTTGCTAGCCGTTGTGAAGCCAATAAAGGAAAACATTAAAAACGCTCAGTAAATCTGATTAATGGAAATGAACAATTCATTGAGATGAAAGACGCCTCGTAATCAGAAGTTCGTTGACAATCGTGTACCCACTCACTACGAAAAACGACCGAAATAATAGAGCTCAGTGGTGAAGAACTACTAAAGACTTACTTTGGGAGAAGTTATCGATCTTTTGTTAGTGTCCAAGGTACGAGGAAGGAGCCCTGCAACAGTTCCAACGGCACCAGCAAGATGATTTTTATCTAGTCGACTCTTCGGAGTAGGTAACATTGCTAGTAAGCCAGATACCTTTGGTTTAACTGAATAATCGGTTGGCTTAACACTCTGAAACAGAACACTACTATACACAGTCTTTGCTTCTCTAAACCTCACCGAAGCCGAAATTACACGGTGATAATTTTTGTGTAGATGCTCTGGTTCATTTTGGTAAAGGAAAGGCAAAAATAGCATGACAATTTCTCATGAAGTAGTACCTACTCATACTTCGATGAAGATATGAGAAAAGGAAAAATGTGATACATGCATATTACAAAACCTCTTAACTGAAATCACAGAGTGAATCGAATTCGCGCAAAAAAAATTTCCAGAGGTAGCACATGGCATCGTACTACTTCGTAATTAAGCAAGTAAGTTCGCAAGTGCCATCTTCCGCTGCTACATAAGAATAAACAGCACTTTACATCTACACTTCTACTAAAACAGGATTTCCTTCGCTAAACTGCTATATTATTTGTTCTGACACTGGTCGCCAACTCAGATTCTGAACTTAGAGCATCATCATTCTGACAGCATCTTCCCAAGCGAAAAAAAACTTGAAGCTTCCATTAAATCCATAGAAAGCCTTTATCTTATAACATAATGTAAAGTTATCATCACCATACTTCGTCATCATCATCGCTACCACGACCGTCTACAATCATGCTTAAAGCACCAAACGCAGAAATTTTCGTCTTCCCTGAAAGGATGTTTCCAGAGACGTAAAATGTCACTATGACACTGTCAATGACGTTATTGAACAAAGCGAAACGGTGTTAAGATATCTAAGATATTATGAAGGCAACAATGTCTAAACAGAACGTGATGCAATGAAAAATTACTTGATTAAATATGAGGAACCTTTCAGAATACTCTTCTGTTCATTCGAACCGAGCTTCACCAAACCTTCCCGACGTTCCTTTCGCCTTTCCTTCTTTGCCTTTTTCTTTGCCTGAGTAAAAGAGTCGATGAGGTTCCCAAAAAAGTCACACATTACCCAATACGTTCTCAAAAACAAAAAGGAGAGAAAAGAAGAAGAGATATCCTTTTTGCCATTGCTATATGGTAGACAATAACAAAAGCTACACTGGTTTGCTACTTTGAAAAGAATATCCACAAAGCACATTGAGCACACTGTGTACGTGCATTAAAACAATTGTGTCTTCCAACTTCTTATTTGGATACTTAGATGGCCTATTCTCATTGGTTGTGGAGACCCCAGCATAATTTCCTTTTTCTTGGACCACTGCTGGTTTAGTTGTTGTAGCTCAGTTGTTGCGCTTGTGCGTTAGGAGATTTCCCACCATACGACAAGTCTGATACCAAAACGGTGGTGGATCCTGGTATTGGTTTACTCTTAGCTAGGTTTCCTGATGAATACGGCAGGCTCCTCAATCTAAGAGCCTGCTTGGGGGATGAACCAGCGCTGTATATATATCGCAGCCCGACACCCAGGAACACCTGCCAGTCATGATGAGGCGGTAAACCGTTGGGAGGGTGTTCTAACCTCAAAAAACATAAACCTACCTCGAACTTTATTAGTTGAAGTAATTTGAAGGAGGAGTTACATTTTATGGCGATGGGGCAAAAGTTATGTGAAGTTACCAACTCCTCGGGCGTTTGAGATATAAAAAAATTATGGCGTGTTGCCAAAAAAATTGAGCTCTAGCGAATGATTTAAATAAAAGAGATCAGTCTCTTATTAGCAAACTATCGTCAAAAAATATGGATGGTTCTGACATACGTGCACCGATTACGTATGAAGAACGCCTCGTAATTTTACGTACATTATTATTTTCTAGAGCGAAAAATACCAAAATACAGTGAACCTTCGTATAAAAGTTAATCGTTCATTTTCTCCAGAGTTTAGATAATTAATGGTAAAAAGACGTCAACATATAATACACTCAAAACAACGCAAAACTGTCAATTTAATTCACCTTTTTATCCCGAAGTCTTCTTTCCTTTTCACCTAACTTAATCTCCCAATCTTTTGGCTTCACCATTTCCTCTAAATCAGCTTCAGTACTAAAATTTGATGCCGATGTAGGTGGTTCAATAACGGCGGGTAAACTGATAGAAGACGAATCTAGAAAAAGTTCAAGAACATGTTCAAAGAAAAGCGAAAGACATAACTAATTTCTAATACCAACCTTCCAATAATACATCATCAGAATCCAAATATGATTCACGATCTCCATTTGCTAATGAACCACACAATGTCACTTTAGTCGAAGGAGCCGAAACTGACTGAAAATGATGCAGAAGAAAATAGCGTTTCTCAGGGTTACTAAGCGGAAATCGCTAGGTCAAAGTAGTGTTAATAAGATTGAAATGACTCCCTTTTCAAAGATATGACTTATTCTCGTATATCCTCTCGGCGTTGATCAATCGCTGAGGGATGCGCCATGTATTCTACTTTCTTAAGCATCGTTGGAGGTGATTGAATGCATATCTGCCCTTCCAATGACTCGCGGTGGCCAAGCGATGTATCGAGCCAGTGCTGCTATCCTCCCAGACAAGTCTGGCACCAATTTCTTACTCCGGAGGGATGGAAGGCTTGGTGAATCTTGGAGGCGGGAATCGATCTCATGTGTATTGCAGGGCGCCTCCAATCATTGCGCTACACGCGCCCGAATACAGAGGGTGGAAATACCTACACTAAACGAACACTAAATAGCCTACTATGAAATTTAGGCATTACCTAATCGCATTATATATGAATATAATATAAATATATATATTATAAGTACAAATATATAGTAACATAATAAATAACAATATATGTACAATGCAAATATAAATATATGTTAATATAATATATACAATATATATGTATAATAAATAAATATATATATATATATACGCCGAGAGATCCATTTTCTGTATTGTCCTAGCAATGATATTAACAGGAATTTGTCCCGAACTTCTACTTGATTGAAACCCAAACACAATAGCCCACGTCGCCAAAAGCACGCATAAATCCACTGGAGGGTTACACAGTTCAAATATAGAAAAGATGGCATTATGTTGTCTTCTATCAAATGGTTTGTATTCCACGTTATCTTCACTCAATCCAATCAGTTGACTAATCCAGGAATACTTGCCGCCTTTGAAGAACTTTAGTCGCAACGCAGTAGAATCCTCCTCCGATTCATAAGTGCACATCACTGCTATCGATGGAAATTTAGGAACAACAGAGACTATCTCGAGATTCTAAGAAAAGATGAAAGATAGATTCTGATACCCCAGCCCAACTCAAAAATAAACTTAAACAAGCAGCATTGTTGACGACGATTGCGAAAGGAGAAACGAGCAGAAGGATGGTATTCAGACCTTTTTTCAGACTGAACGTTGGATTATTGAACAAAACACAAAGCGTCTACAGCACATTGATAGTAGAAAATTTTACCACCTGTTCAAGATCTATGTTTTTTCCCGCTTACGGTCTCAACCCTTATATCTGCTAAATAGTGATCTTAAGCTAAGATAATCTATAACACATCATCTGCCTGTCTACGATTCTTTCTAGATGTTCATTCTGTGGGAAACATTTGTAATCCTTGGATGTTTGCGATGCCTAGTTATATCTGATGTTGAGCATGTGAATCTATGGTTTTAGGTACATTAGTCGGTCGGTAGCTAATTTACGAGACTTGTATGCAGGTCATATTGCTCTTCTTCACTCCATTGACCACACCCATTAAACGTTAGTTGCATGTGAGACATAACCACACCAATACGTTCCAACTTCCATAGCGGATAGTAGTGGTCACTACTGTGAACGGGAAATAGTTTTTTGAGTTGTGTTTTTGCCAGAACAACGTCAATCCTTGGCACAGACCAACTCCTAGATGGATTTTCGAATGGGAAAGTCGAAATTC